CTCTGCAGTGACAGTGCAGTGTCTTTCCCCTAGACCACCAGGGGCTCCCATTACCACCAGATATATCCCATGCCTTAGCTAATCCCAAGCACAACATGCAGTGGTGAGAGAACAGATAGTAGCTGCCTTGCTGCTTTTCACGTGTTCTGAGCACAGGAAAATAAATACTCTCACATTATTGTCCACTAGGAGCAACTGATATTTTTATATCATAAAGATATTTTTAGGGGGTTAAATATAAAATTAGGGAATACTAGTAGAACAATTGTGTACTATACTACCAGCTTCATATGTATGTCTGCTATCAGGAAAATTTTGAGGTTTCCCAAGAAATTTTGCCTAAGTAAGCGATAAGAGATCAAACCACAGTGTAAAAACATTCATTCTTCTGTAAATCTATTTTGGCTCTTTTGAAAGTTTTGGCATCTCTTTTAATGGTGTTGAAACTATTTTGAGTTATTTAAGAACCTTATAACAAATTAAGTTAGGAGAGGAAGTCAAGGAGAGGAAGAATCTTCTGTTAGACCAACTGTCATGTTTTCACACAAGGCCTTTTCCACATATTAATATCTGCTAAGGAAACTATCCTAAAATGTTGTAAACACACCTATTTGCATTCTAAGCTTGATGTCTGTGTTGGGCAAGTTCAGTGTTCACAAAGTACCTTAATAATACTCTTTTGTAATTTTTAATTATTCATAAGTCTGCTTCCCTGTCCAATCAAATTGTCTGACAACATACGTTGTTCTTTCGGTCAACTCTGAGTCTCACTACTTTTCAGATTTTTAAAATAAACTCCACTCTGAGTTGAAATGCATCATTTGTTTGCAAGGACCTAACAACAGCTCTTCATACCCCGAGAACAATCTTTGCCTTATAGACTGTGGAAAAAAAAATCAATTACAGTCTTTGTAAATGACAAGAGAAGTATCCATGAAGTAAATTCAGAATTTATACCTGAAGACACTGCAGGTACCCTGTCAGGCTGTGTGGATTTTCTTCCAACTCTAGCAGACTGTAATTGTTTACTTAAGCTGGATATTGATTGTAGTTAGACTGCTGGCTCACTTCCTTCAGCTGCAATTCTCATTTTGGCAGTTTCACATACATCACTTAAAATTCCTCTCTGCAGCCATGCTGTTCACATTCTTAATTCTGGGTCATAATCTACTAAACATGACCACGTTTTTATTTCTGCATTATGATGATGGGATTTTTCTTACATTTTCTGATCTCTGTAGAATAAAAAGTGGAAGTTTTTAGTAAGAATGACTTTGAATCACTGCCCTTTACAATTAGTGTTATACAGTTTTATGGAAGAGCACAGATAGAAGTGAGAGATTCTGTGGCAGAGTAGCTGTAGAATAAATTGTCCACATTTTATGAGTGACTATATACGTATCATTTTCTATCAGTAAGTATTAAAATGTTAATTAGGTCACATTTAGATCCAAATTTTATGTCAATAGTTCAGATGCTGCTTTGAGAACTAAAAAAATCTTTTATATTAAAACTTTCTTAATAGTCATTCTGGTAGTAATTAACTACAGCAAGAGGCACACGAAGTTGCTGTCTGAAAAAATAAACAAATCTATTAAAACATAATTAATATAAAGTGTTAATTCAACCATGATGTGTCTTGTCTCCTTTACTGGTTTGAGTAGGCTCACCTACTATAAACCTACTTAGGCTCACCTGCTACAAAGCTTTTATGGCCACTGAAAGCATGTGTGAGCATGAAAGATTTTTAGATCCTTATAAAGCAATTCTGTAAAGGCTAATAAACCTTGAAATAATGGCAGATCCTGTGCCTAAAAGGGCAAACAATGATCACAGAGCCATTACACTGCACCAGCTGAAATATCGAATTCTTCAGTTTAAATGGTTTATAAAGAGACATCCGTAAAGAAATAACATTCATATAAGTCACTGTCATTTCTTTTCAGTTATTTAACAAACAGGACAATGACACCTGGTCATTGATAAACAGGATAACTGACATCCAGTATTATCTGTTTCTCTTTACCTAAAGCTGAATTCCAAATTGGGCATCAGGAAAATTAAAAATAGAAGGAACTCATACTCACATATCAAATTAATCCAATAAGCCTTTATAGGTATGTTAATACTTAACATATTTTTGCATACTTTTGGACTAGGAGATACTCTGAAATTTCAGGCCCTGAAGTACAGATTGCTAAATATATCATTCATCAAAAAACAAGAACAGAAGCATTTTTGGAAACATGAAACCATTCCTTCAGCAGAAAAGACAATGCTAAATTAGAACAGATGGACTCTATCTGACAGCAGTGCAAAGTGTTACCCCCTCAACCCCCCCCCCCAAAAAAAAAAAAATTAAAAAATCAATGCTTTCATAACTAATGAAGCTTGGGGACTGTTTTTAGATATTGTAAAAAATATGAAACCCAATAGTGCTTCACCTGGAGTATTTTCATGTCTAAAATTTGGCAGAGTCACGTAACTTTAAAGGATAGCACGTCTCCAGATATCGATCAGAGCTTTGTACAGCTACAATGCCATAAAAATGATCTGCAGCTATAAAAGAGATAACATGATTATGAGTACACTACATTGTAATTTCCTTTGGGCAGTCAGAAAGGAAAGACAGTCTGATAGTCTCTGAGAAAAATAAGCTTGGAGGATATCCACTGTCTGACAGACAAATCATTTTACAATATTCCAACTAAAGCACCTTCCAAACTTAAACTAATAACAACAACAACAAAAATAACACTAGACCTTCACAATTACCTTTCAACCAAAACACAACAGGCAGCTGCAAAGCTAAGCAGCTCACAATGTGTCTGAGAGTTTTAATGCTCCAAATTACTTGTGAGTTCAGCCACAGAACATAAACAGTTAACCTGATTTCGAGCCATTAGATGGAGCTTACTAGAAAGCTTGCTCTAATAAATGGTATGATATGAAGGTCAGCCCTTAATTTACCATCAAAATATCTTCTGGGTGTAAACATAATGACTTCTGCTTATGCACTACACAACCCTGACAAGAATGCTACTTGACAATCCATTTCAGATCTAGAAAAACGTTCTCATTTGTGTCAAGGTGCCGAATGTCAGCAGATTCACTAATACGCTTATTTGCACTGCAGTGGTGGAACAGAGGAAAACACCATGAGCCTCCATACCCTGCTGCTGCCTGGCTAGGGAGACGGTGAAATAAAACAAGATTTAATCCTGTCCATATCACTGTGCAGTTGGAGAAACTTGACAAGTCAACATTAAGTATTCAAAGTGGTATTGTGGCCTAAAGGGATCACATGCAGCCTGCACATGAGAGCAAAGGAATAACTTGGTTCTGCTTCGGTGTTTGTAAATTTAATTTGTTCAAGGAAAAGCAACTCTGGAAGGGATTACTAGCTGGGATCAACACTCTTACCAAAGAGAAAGATAAAATGCAAGTAGGAATAATATTGACGTTTTTGTAATACAAAACAGCTTTTTGGGCTTCAGTGAATAAACAGAAGTTGGAGGCAACTGCAGCTCAACTCTGGTATATGGGAATATTTCACTCAGTGTTCCTGAGCAGGAGGGCCTGGAAAGGTTGTGCATTTCAAGAGGACTGTATGGGTACTTAGAAAGCACCGTATTTTACAACATTTAAAATTTATTTAGCAAAATATTGTTGAGTATTGTCTCAGTGCAATAGCTATTTTTTAAATAAGTGGGACAATAATATTCATGGCATAAAAACATCTGATACACTGACTCTTAATTATTGCCAACATCTCATTCCACAGGTTCGGAGAAGGATATCTGTGGCTAAGTGTGTAAATCCCAGGTGCTCAGGAAACACTGAGCCTGTGCACACATATTAAATTAAGAATAACCAAGACCTACAGCAGTGCACTTCTGAAATAACAGTACAAGAGAAACCTGTAAATCCCATTTGCTAAGTGTAGCTCTGTATTTACACTACCTGCAATATCCTTGAATAACACAATTATTCAACTGTTTAAAGTCACCTCTGGTCCCACAGCAGAAAACGAGCAACAAATTCCTGAGTCTGTAAAATGGTCCTTTTGCTAAATACTGGAGTGGAGAGGTGCTGGTAATCCCCTGGGACTAGGCATGGGAGGGAAGGTGCCCTGAAGATACATTTGCTTACTGGGCCCTTTAAATAGAAATTAGGGACAACTGGGGTAGAGCTAGGGGAAGACAGCTGAAAGTGATGACAGAATAGTCTCCTATTTTGTTTTAGCAGGGGTCCTTGTGACAGAATAGTCTCCTATTTTGTTTTAGCAGGGGTCCTTGTGATGATTAAACCTCCAAATAACTGCTAAATGCAATGCATATTTTCCCAGAGTGAAGGACAATGAAAATCTTTTCCCTACAGATTGATACTTCAAATATAAAGCACAGAAAGATAAGCACTGCCAGCAAGGAAACTAAAAATATGTCTTCTTAAGCTTGATTAATGAGCTAATAAAAAACTATAATAAGAAAGAAATGCAATTAAAGCATCTTGTGATATTTCTCTCAAACAGAAATAAAGACCTAAAGAGCATGGTAAAACTTCGAAAAATTAATATGAATCCATACGACGGCCTTAGGATTCAAACCTACAGTACATCAGTTTTATACTTTCTTTGTCTGGCTGTCCTTTATTTATCATCTCTGATGTGTATTGTCTAGAATTCTGATCCTTGTTGAGTTTTTTTTTTATCATTTTATTGCCTCACAAGTATAATATCTGAATTTAAATACAGGCATATTAAAAACTCAGGCATTATATGGGTTGTAGGTACTTATTCTATTCAGGAAACGTACAGGCCTCTGGCATAAAACATGGTACTTGGAAACAGTGAAATAAAGACAAACCCACTGGAAACAAAACTCACCCATCACCTATACAAAGTCAGAAAACAAACTAGCTACACACATCACTGACATACAAAGGACAGAGTAGAAAGCATAGAAAATGTATAGTGTGATAGTCACTTTTCATCAGTTTCTGGTACCTGAAGGTAATCAGAGGCTACAGGAGCAGCAAAGACACTGGTAAGGAACTGTAAAAGACACAGGTGGGAAGAACTGCAGATTTGATTACAGATAAGAAGCATCTGCACCCCAAGGAAGCCCAGGCTGCACCTTGCAGCGCCTGGAAGCGTGCAGCACTCAGCTGAAGGCCTGTGATAGTCTAAGAGGAAGGTAGCACACCAAAGCAACCCCAGGTTCCTCAGAACCACAGAGCTGGGGCACAGCAAAGAGCAGCAGAACAGGGACAGTCTAGACAGGGTGGTAAAGAAGACTGAGGATCTCGTACCAGAGGCAGTTATTTTAAAACTACAGAAATTGTCTATTTTGACTTACTGAAACATGAGCGGAGTCTCCAGGATTGGTGCATCCCATCTCCCTCTGCCGGCTGCTCCCCGCGAAAGCGACCTACTGCAGCAAAGACTTCTGTCACCCAAAACGCGTAGTGAGACACTGCCCCCAGCTCCCTCTGATTTTCAACTACTTTTTTAAAGAATTAAAACGTCTTATTATATTCTCTAATTAGGCTGGCGTAGTTTTTTTCTCTTTGCACAGTTCAGTGAACATTAGGTGTTTCTTTTTATCCCTTGATTTCAAGTTGTGTCTCAAGACTTCACTGAAAAGCATGAAATATCAAATGCATTTCCTCATCAACTGCCAGAAGTGTTTCATGAATACTTTTCAACATACTTTCGTTTGATGACGGGGTTTGCCTTTTCTAATTTGACAGCAAGGGAACCAAGATACACAAAGGCTATTTGTATGTGCCTGTTTAAGGACCCGCCCAGGATTCCTGAAACTTACATTAACAACTAAGTTGACTTCAGATATTTCAGGCGGTGCCTGTAAAGACGTGCCTTGTTCTACACCGAGCCAAGGTGAGCAATCCCTGGCCCCAGCACCAGGAAGCACACCTGGCCCCAGGGCCAAGGGGCAGGCGAGCCTCCGGCTACAACGACAGAGCGGCTGCCCCAGGTATGGGAGAGCCGACGGGAGAGGTGTGTTCGCGGGCTGCTGCTCCCAGGACGGGCCCTGGGCGCCTACCAGGAGGCAAGAGATCAGCCTGGAAAAGGCAGGAAAGTCTGGGTGCGTCCCTGCCGGGCGCCCGGGGCTCCCGAGGACAGAGCGGACGGCTGCCCGGGGCTCTCCAGCCCGAGGCACTGCACACACTTGTCCCAGCGGCCCCGGCCAGCAGCGGCCACGCTCCCCACGACTGCGCCAGGGGCGGCCCGGGCAGGGGCCCCACGCCTCCACGAACACGCCCGTGGCGTTGGGCCGCCCCGTCCCGCCTCCGCGGAGGTCGCAGCCGCAGTCCCGCCGTTGGGGCCCGCCGGCAGGCACGGCACCTCCCAACCCGGGTCGGCCCTCCCGGCACCCTCGGACCCCGCTCCCTCCCAGCCCGGACCGGCAGCACGGCCCGCCCGCCGCCGCTTCCACTCCTGCGCACTGGGCGCGCCCCCCGGGCGGGCCGGGGCCGGGGCCGGGGGCGGGCCGCGGGCGGGGGAGCGGCGGGCGGCCAATTGCGGTCCCGCGGGGAGCGGCTGCAGTGGGGCTGTCGCCTGTGCTCGTAGGGCAGGATGGAGGCGGAGGGCCGGGCATCGGGGCAGCCGCTCCTCGCCGGCGGGGAAGGGCCCGGGGCCGACTCGCGCCTCGCTGCGGGTGCCCCCGGCACGGCCCGGGGTCCGCTGATCGCCGCCGCCGAGGTGCTGGCGCTGGACGATGAGGAGGACGACCTGGAGGTGTTCAGCAAGGTACGGCAGCGCCCTCCACGGGTCGGGTCGGGCCGTGCCGCGCCGTGGCGGCCGGGCGGGCTGGCCGGCACTTTGCCCCGGCGGGCACCGGGCGAGCCAGGACGGGACGGGACGGGACGGCTCCGCCCCGAGCGGCGATCGCGGCCTCTGCCTGCTTGCCCCGCTCCCGGGCGGGAGCCCGCGCTCCCCGCACCCGGACAGTGCCGGCCCAGGCAGGGCAGGGCTGCTGCGGCCGCCCCTGGGGCTCGGCTGCGAGGTCCAGGCTGCCTGGGGCGCGGGGCTGCCCGGGGACAGAGCTCGGCGGTCACGGAGCCCCGGGTGAGTTCTGCGGCACGGAACGCGGGTTCGCTGCTTCGGACCAGCAGTGCGAGTCATGACTGCCCTTACCTCAAATGTGCCGTGTAATCTGGACTCGCTGTAACCTTATCATCACTTAACGTTCCTCATGTACCATGTATGTATCTGTAAATTAAATAAACAGTCGTGTTTAGTAATTGCAGTAGTGTTTAAATGTAAATAAATGTTTGCAAGTTTCAGTTTGAGTTTCCTTTAGGAAGGTGAAGTCTCCTACCCTCACATAGGAGGCTTGAGAAGTTAACATCTGTATTTAGATGAAGGGAATAAAATAAATGTAACTGACAATATAGTAGGGTCCATCATGTTCAGAAAGCACACAGTTAGTTAGGTACATGGGTGCCAGGTTTGCCAATACTGCTGATTTTAATTAAATCAATTACCAAGTGTGGTATGGCTACCACATATAGTTTTTCATTTTCTACTGATTTGGTTAAGATGAGACTTACCACTTGCCTTCTCAGCAGTTAAAGCAGAGAACATCTCATGGATCTATTTGCCTTATTAAGGCAGCATCTAAAATATAAAGACATACAGAGAGCTAAGGTGGAAAAAAATATATACAGAGGCTAAGGTGCTGTTCATCCTCCGAGGCTTGTGAACTGTTGTGTGACAGAATGTGTGCCATGGGAGAGAGACAGCAGATACGTTTCTGATTTGAAAACGTGACAACATACATATATTCAGTAGGACCGGTTATCATATGGATTAAGTGTGTGGGTTTTTATATTTCTGTAGGTGAGATACATTGTGGTATGCATGAATAAAACCATTGGAATAAAGACTTCCTTCTTAGGAGCTATGTATTTAAACTTTGACTCTAGTAGAATTCTTGAAACTCATGACTTTTAAGGCCAGAAGGAACTATTAGGTCATTTAATAGTCTGTAACATAAAAGACGCCAGGCTAAATTTCACCAAGTTATCTGTGTTTTTCTGAAGCATAACTAGGGTCTAGCTGAATTATGTTATTCTAGGAAAGCACCAGTCATGGTTTGACATAAAGAGATGAAGGATTCACTGAACGTGCATGCAAAAGTAGTGCTAAAATATAATTTTAGCTGTTTGTGCTCACTTTGAATCCTTTTGCTTTTATGAGCTAAGTTCAGGCAGTTCAGCATGAGGTATCTGCCTATTAATACAGTGTATCAGCAGTTATGCTGCTTGCTTGTCGAGAGCTATTCCCCTTGGGAACAAAAAAATGAAAACAAGTGGAGTTGATAAAAGTTACTGCTGCTATATGGCAAATACCTATATCTTTAAATTTCTACCTTGCTTCATGACAAATATTTCTTACTTATATGAAATCTTAACTATCATGGTACATGATAAATTATTCCCTGCAAACAAGAAAAATTGCCATACTATGTTAAAATACAGCCTTCTTTCCAAAGCTTGGACACCTGCCTGTAGTGTATATATAGACCAGTAATTCATGGTTTGTTTTCAGGTGCAGTTTGTTTTCAGGTGCCAGTCTTTTGAGCTTATGAAAATCTGTGAGGTAGTTTAGGCTTTACACCCTATTTGTTCCTGTTCCATATATAGAAGAGAAACTGACAGGCTAAATGGAGCTTCCAGTTAAGTGTTGTAAACCTAACAATAACATACTGTTCCAGGACTACCTGGATTTAAATTGTACCTTAATGGGGTTCCTCACGCCAGAGTCTGTAAGGTAGTGCAGTACCATTTGCAGGCCAAGCGGGACGGCAATGGCAGTGCAGAGCTTGGTGCCTGCCACTGCCATCAACTTCATCTTTCTCACTTTAGTCAGTGCATTGTGCCAGCTACCAAAATGGTGAAAAATGAGATTCTTAAAAATTGTCAACCTCAATACCCAAAGTTATTACTCAAAATGTAAATAGGGGGCTTTTATTTTATGAAAATTCATAGACATTTAACCTGATAGTGTCATAAGCGATTGACCTGGTACCCTGTGACATATCTTAAGTATTACAGACCAGCATCTTCTTCGGCAGCTCGGATGAACCATTTCATGATGTGGTGTGCGTTTCACTTTATTCTAGTTTCCACTACCATTGATAAAGTTCTGACTTCTTTTCAGCAGAGACGAATTCTAGGGGTTGAGTTATGAGCCACACAGATACAATGTTTTCAACCTGCTTTCTGCCGTTAGTTTCGAAGTATGGAGTACTGCATGTATCACAATACCCATTCAAGTACCCTTTGCCTTCCTTGTTAAGTGACATCTAGAATTGGGAAAGCTTCACGTGATTGCAAGCTCTGGATCCTTACTGGGAGGTAGGGATGGATGGATGAGGCATGGAGGCAACCCTGAGTCAAGGGCCTGTACTCTGGGAAAGAGCAGTGTTTAGGCAAACCCCCAGGTTTAATGTCTTCTAGAAAGAGCCACTGTCACAGCTGTGTGTTCTTTTTTGAGGCTGCTCCTGCTGCGTGAGTGTTCTTCCCTTATTTATTTTAGAGTGTTACTGGCCAATTGCAGTCAAATGTGAGAGTGAGATAGGGTAACTGCAAGTATTAGAGGAGAGCCAGAATAAGGCACTCATACTGCCAGGAGCTCGTTGATTTTCTATCTGTTTGGTCACTTGGCCAGTAAGTCAAAAGGCGTGACTCGTGCACGCAGCTCTGCCAACTGCTCTGTCAGGAGTGAAAGGGTTTGGAAGGAGAAGGGATACTGCAGGTCAAGCGGGGCTGGGGACTGTATGGGAAAGGACATAATATTTTCTGGGACAGGGCCTTGATGCTTTTTGAATGGATGAAGAGGAGAAAGGTTTCACAAAACAAAAGCTGGAAGAATTGTCTGGTTTTCCTGTGCTACAAAACTTCTTCTGCCCTCATCTGTATGCACACAAAAACATAGTTCCAACCACAAAATTACAGCTGTATAGAAAATTATCATCTTTTTTTAACTGTGTTTGTTATGACATCAGAACTTTAAGAACTACCGTAAGTAAACCTGAAGTATCATAAAGAGAGACATGCTTCTTTAAAACTCACATGCATTCATTCATGTGCACATGACTACTAGACCTGTATTAAACAAATCTGAAGACCTGCTTTATTTATTCTATGGATTTTTGTGCCTATGTTTTGTTTCACACACCACCATTCATAAGCTCTTCCACATAAAAATATACTTTCAGAAACCTGCATGTATAGAGAAATTTTTAGTAGCAACCTAGAAGGAGGATTGAAACATTAAGATATTAATGCCCCATGGAAAATGAGAAAATATGAAACACGTTTACCTTGATCTAATTTAGGCCTTGCAGAGTCATTACTCCTCAAGTTATATAGCCATTCAAGTCCCTTACATGCTCACATGCATTTTTCTTTCCCTGGAAGTTTCCTATTGTCTCAGCGCTTTGAATCGCATGGGCTGCTCTGAACTAGCAGTCATCATTCTTCAGCCAGAGTGTGGCCAGCCAGTGCTACCGGGCTCTGCAAACAGCTTCTCTCTGTATTCTACACCACTCAGGACAGTGCTGGCTGGACACCAGTATAGAAATCGTGGGTAGAAACACACTGAATAAAGGTAAAATGACTGACAGGTGTACAAGGAAGCCATTATATAATATTTAAAGTCTTGTCTTTAGTCTTCTCTGTTGCTTTTGTCTCCCTGTTCAAAGAACTGCACGTAAATGATGGGAGGAGAACTGGTACATAAGTGGTTTCTGGGCATAATTCCCAGTATAAATTTCTCCTCCATGTTTGTGGGAGTACATTGATAAATCCAAAGGAGAGGGATGGCAGTAGGCAATCAGCTTAAGGCAGGAAAAGAGCAAGATCTTCCAGAGA